TTGGTTGTTGTGCTGCCGAGTTGGTGTATGGAACAACGTTACGTTTGCCCGGTGAATTTTTTGACCGCGCAACAGATATTCCAGCAGACATAACCGACTATGTACAACAATTAAAACAACAGATGGAATCAATTAGGTCCGTTGAACCACGAACCCAAAAGGTGAGATCATTCGTACCTAATGAACTAGACAAATGCTCACATGTATTCGTCAGAAATGATAGAATACGACAGCCGTTACAGGCTCCTTACGACGGCCCGTTTAAAATCATCCGAAAAGACGGTAAAACAATTACAGTGGAAAGAGCAGGTAAACATGACACTGTTAGCATCGACAGAATAAAACCAGCGTTTTTAGAGAACACTGAGAAACAGGCAACTGTAAAACCATCTAAACCTGCAGCAGAGCAAGCATCAAATAGACTAACTGCAACAAACAAAACTTCACTCAAAAGTACGCCCGCAACAGAAACCACAACAAGATCAGGAAGAAAAGTACACTGGCCAGATAGGTATGTAGCAACCACCACATTTATCTAGACCAAGTCCTGAGATTGCTCTTATACCACAAAAGTCCTTCTTTATTTTCATTACTATATTTTATTGGCGCCACGGATCTTCATTATGCTTACATTTTAACTTTATGAAATTCGTTGATGTTAAATATACTTTTATACATACATGATACAAAGCGTTTCAACACACAAGGTGTTATGACAACTTAACGCTTACTCATCATCATATCAAATTGTACATTTATTTTAAAGACAATTTCGTTTTTCATCTTTTTGTCGAACATAGATGTTAATAAAATCTTTTTTGTAAATAAAAACATCAATGTTCTGGATGGGAGCTTATGTAGCAAGCCCATTCCATTAATGTATTTTTTATCTATACAACTGTGTTAATTTCCATATGAGTATGATTGAGCGTGTGTCTGCACTTCTATCCCTATTCTATTCCCTATTGGTTGTGACACATAGATAATCAATAATTTATCTACACTTGATTGATACTCAAAAATATATATGGATCTTTTAACACAGACACACACACTTTGATTTTTGTCTCACTCGGTGCTTGCTTGCTGTATGCTTGTGGACTTTACCAAGCTTTCACAATAAACTATCTCTATAACTGATTTTTGGGCTTTTTAATGATCTCGAGTAAAATCGATAATTCTACTAGGAGATTAAGCCTGTATTAAATACTCGGTTAATGAGATATCTTTATTTGGAGTCGAATATAGAGGAAATTTATCTCAACAAACTTTGTTAACCTCTACACATTTAAGGACCTCAATTCTTGTTGATGTCACTGATAACTATTGGTTAAATTCATATTAAAAATCGATTTCACAGTGTAAGGGATTTAATGAACCTCGTGTCTACTTAGTAATGAATTCGAAAAGAACAACTTCTAATGGTCGACTTTGTTTAGAGTAGTAAGAATTCGGCTAAACAAATATGACAATGAGAACAGGCAGTTACAATAGTACAACTCCAAGTCTTGGTCAAGCGACTCTTCAAACCAAATGTATTTAATTTACTTGCTACCGGATGTCAAGCTCAAATAAAGAGGGAACCATGTTAGGGTGAAACAAAAAAGAACATGAACAAAAAACACGCTAATACGTATTCATGACCATAGACTGTAAATTGAAGAGTTATTCGTAAGAATAAACAGTAAAATCAGTTATAGATCCATTTTAAAGGAGTTTTGGCATTTACTCCAGTTGTAATGAAGGAATATATTTTATGTACTACTCACCAACCAATAACTATTACTGACTAACGTTTCGCTACACCATGACTCTAAGTGTTTGAAACAGGAATCGTAGCTTAAATCGACATACATTTATGATAATTAATGGTATTTGAATTATAGTATGAAATAAGAATCCCAGAAATAAATCAATTCAATCAAGAAGTACTACACAAGCACTAACGAATGTACTGTATTTGAAATTCGGAATCAGACATTCAATAAGTACAAAGCAATCATTAGTTCATTCAAACACCACATCCGCCACAGTTTAAATTGGAGTCCAGGTATCTGTAATTCATTGCACATCTTCTTAAGTTCATTTTGTGTTTGTCCGACAGTGTAATTGATAAAGACTCTCTATTATCTAGAGTGCAATCATCAGTATTAGAATTAACAACCGAAATCGCAACAGACTCACTTGCTTCCTGGGATTGTGTACTGATACCTAGAATTTGAACCATAGATATTCAGACTATCCTCCCCCACGAAGTAATGTCGGATCTACATATCGCCAAGTTATGAATAATGTGGCTTCATTTAAACCATTTTTCTCACATTGACTAGAGTATACATTAGAAGTGACTTTATGATAAGGATAAACAACAGTTGATATGGAATCATCTGAATTGCAATCAGAATCGAGCTCATTCAATACTCGTGCTTCACACTGAACAAGATTCCCACAAAAAAACAAATGCATAATAAGGATAAGTATTATTTCATCTGACATCAGGATTTGATTCTTCTGAAATAGTTTCCTCAAATTTATTAAGAATGTCATTGCAGAATAAAGGATCATTAGAAAAATCAGCATCAATCAAAACTACATCAGATTTTCAATCATGATTAGGTTCTTGCGAAATTTTCTCACCAGATTTGTATGAAATTTCATCAGAAATATGTGAATCATTAGGAAAAATCATATCTGGTACAATAACATGGGAAATCTAATAGGTTGATTGATTAGGAATTGTAGTCTTGCAAGGATTCTGAGTTTCATTTAACTCTGAACTGCTATACGACTCTAAATTGTCTTTGGAAATCGTTGATAAAGTTAAATGATCATTATAAATACTCAACTTATTAGAATCAGAACCGCACTCTTCGTTGTTAAGCCATAAAAGGCACTGTTGGGCAGAATACAAACGAACCGACAACAATAGAGCGTACAGGCAATACAAACATATAAGGAACATATGTACGAAGGCTGTAAGAGAAGACAGGCTCCAGTACCAGTTTGAAGCTTATGGATAAATTTATTTCCAATCCGAGAAGCTTATTCCGTTTCGCAGTCTCTCTTCGTCAGGCCAAAACTGGAGTTTCTCAACTGCTAGGTCCTAACGGCCCAACCGATAATGACGGTGACGCAGCTAACCTTTTGGCTGAGCAATATTCCCGGACATTTCATCCGACCAACATCAACTATGCTGATGACGGCTCTATCTGCAACTGCATAGGACTTTCCTTAGTGAAAATGAGCGCTGACATGGTGTTCTGTAAAATACAACACCTAAGGACAGACACTTCTCCTGGCCCAGATATGGTCCATTCTGTTATACTTAGGGAATCAGCTTCAATCTTGGCAACACCGCTTAGCGTGATGTTCTAACACTCGCCAAGTCGAGGTATACAACCGGAAAATTGGAAGCTGGCTCATATCACACCAATCTTCAAAGAAGGTCGACACAGCGAACCTTCAATTTACCGACTGGTGGCTCTTCTCTCTATACCTTCAAAGATCATTGAGTCCCTGGTATACGATGGTATACATGACTATCTGCTGTCCTCAAATTTTTTCTCACCCCAACAGCATGGTTTCAGGAAGGGTTACTCCTGTATGACGAACCTACTGACTCCGGTGGACAGATGGATAAGCATCCTTGATCGCAAGGGGAAGGTTGATATAATTTACCTTGATTTCCCTAAAGATTTTGATAGGGTTAACCACATATGTCTTATTAACAAGCTCAAACAATTGGGTATCAAACCACCTTTAATTGACTGACTCAGTTCATATCTGACAAATCGACATTTTAAGGTCAGGGTAAACTTCAATTTCTCACACGCTATGGAATGTCCTAGTGGGGTCCCCAGTACACAGTACTAGGACCTCTCCTCAACAGGCAATGTCAGACTTATTACTTTTTGCCGATGACGTGAAACTTTGGAGAGAGAGATACGCAACCAAGACTATATACAGGCACTTCAGGAGGATCTGACTCGACTTCAAAGTTGGGCAGACGTTAACGGACTTACCTTTAACACTTCAAAGTGTAAAGTAGTCCATCTGCGACACGTCGCAGATTACAGTTACATTTTAGGAAACTCCTCCCTAGTAGTATCCCTAGTCGAAAAAGATTTAGGAGTTCTGGTGCCCTACGACTTAAAGTCTTACGCCAACTGTGACAGAAATGCCTTTCGAACAAACCTTGCACTGGTAACATTGAAGCGCATTTTCGGTCAGTTTGACAGGAGAACTTTCCACATAATCTTCAATATTTTTATTCGTCCCCATTTAGAGTACGGAAACATAGTATTCCGTCCTACACTCCAAAAGCATAAGGACACTCTGTAGCGTATCCAACAGCGAGTAACGAATTTAGTTCGAGGACTCAAAATTAAACCCTCGATCACTTGACCTCTACCCATTAGAGTATAGGCGTCTCAGAGATGACATTCTAATGTCTTACAGTATCCTTAACACTCCTGGACATCATTTTAAACACCTACATAAGCTTAGTCCCAATATTAACTTAAGGGGTAACACCCAGAAATTAGAGATACAACATAGTAGAACGGACTGCAGGCACAACTTCTTCTCCTTAAGAGTTGTTGAATGCTGGAATTAGCGGCTGGATGAGCTAGTACAAGCGAATTCCCAGGAGTCCTTTAAGATGAGACTTGATCTATTCTTAAGGACTAAGGACAATATCTTACTATGATATACTAATTTATTTTCTTCTCTTTTATCGTTAATATACCTAGGTTCTTGCCTGGAGGTATTGGTGATCCCCCGCTACTAGACACGGAAGCCTGTTAAGCGAAAGCTTCTTCTATTCCGTCCACAACCATTTGAACCATATCAAGCAAGTTTACAGACACGCTTTCCTGTTTTGATTTTTCTTTGTATGCTTGGACAATTACAGGCAATAGTCGACAAACATTTTTCCAAAAGCGCAAGCAGAAAGTAGATGCCTCACATAATAAACCAAAAGACATTTTCATACATTCAAATATTGACCTAGGGGATACTCACACCGCCTTAGATTGTAGAAGCGGGTCATTTAGTCTGTATTCATGCATGTTACTTTTCCTTGAGTTGGTTTTTCTCCTCATAAGTATTTCGAATGGTTTGACTAAGTTCATTAGTTTTAACTTTATTGTATATGTTTTAGGAGAAAATGATTATTTACATCTTCGGGTAATAAATCCATCCACTCTGCCATTTACATATCGCTTAAGCCCTGGTCAAATAGGACCCCATTTTGTACGTAAATATCTTTCTTATTGACTTCCACTTATTCAAGAATACAACATTTACGTCTACATCACTAGTGCTAACAGAACCACCTCATGCATGTGAGCTGGTAAGTAATGCACATGAAGTTAATCGAAATATTGCTCTGATAATTCGTGGGTAGGTAATTATCAGTATCATTTCAGTGTAAATAGAGGTTGTAGTTTCGTCACGAAAGCAATTAATGCTCACGTTGCCGGTGCAGTTGCTGTGATTGTTTATGATTTTAACCGCAAGGCTATCCACACATTTAGCATGATTCAGGATGATACTTCCAGACGTGTGCAGATACCGTGTGCGTTTATGAATGGAAAAGATGGGTATGTTATTTGTATACTTTTTAACTTTAAAATGCTTTGGTGGGCACAAGTAATTTTTATAGCTCTTGTTTTACAGATAATTGTAAGGAAAAGACTACTCCCATGTGGTACAAAAATCAGTTTACTTAAAAGTCACTTCGGCGAATATAAACGGAAGAATTCAAGTAAATGTAGTTGAAACATCAAAGCATTTAAAAACTTCGGTTGTGTTGTAATCCAGTATGGTCTCGTATTATTTGCACTAGCCCTAAAGACTAGTGTAATTTATGTAAACACTCATGCAAACAACTAACGAATGTCCTGGATGATGTCATTTTCCTTTCATGAAATTTATGCAGAGCAATAGCACCTTTTATTGTGCATCTGAGATTTAAGAATAGCGACTAGGAAGTATTTGAATAAACTACAGCTGACGAGTGGAAGTGAGATAATCGTCATCGGACAGTAAGACAATATCATTTGCGTATTCGACCAGACCACCACTTCTTACTTACGTCACAGCTGTTTCCTAAATGTTATAGATGAAAATTTTGGAAACGAGTGGTGCAATTAAGTAACTCAATATCGATTGCTGTTCTGGATCAGTGGAGAGGCGAATGCATGTGGTCACTACGTGGGATACTTTGCACAATGCATCCAAAAATTAACGAAACTACTAACCACACCCTTCTTAAACAGATAATCATAGAGAATAGTTTTGTTCAGTAGATAGAAGGCAACACATATAAACAAGCACGACGACCATTGGGCTATAAAAATTGTTAGTTTTTGTTAAGACAAAAATTATCCTGTGATAACTACAGAGGAATCAGTTTAACTACTATTATCCAAGATATTTGCCTCAATAATCATCCATTGCTTAACGAGAACTCATAAAGATCAAACTAGAGGAATCCATGCTTTTGAGATCTAGATATGGATTTGTAGACTAAACATTCGCACCTTCCCAGGTTTCATAGCGCAGGCATACCTATCGACTTACAAGCTTAGTTATATTTCTCGACCCCCAGGCGACATTTAATAGTGTAAATCGACAAGTTTTAAGACAGTGTCTGTCATTCAAAGACGTACCATAAAAGTACATTAACATAGTACATTCTCCACTCGAACACTTCTGCTTGAGTCTGAGCTTATGGCGAACTGTTATCAGAAATTATAACTTAAAATAATATCTGTCTGGGTTGTACACTTTCCCCGTTTTCGTTTAACTTCGTGATCGATGTGCTTTTAGAAATGACACTTTCACCGCTTGACATATTAGGGGCTGATCTACTCATTGACTTAGAGTACTCAGATGATGTAGTTCTGTTTGGTGAAGACACTAACACAATGCGGTTTTCTGATCACACCAAACAACAAGGCAAGGATGTTTTAGATGCTCTTCTCTCCTTCCAAATGCAAAATATTGCATCTGGATTGATTCGCTCTGGGATCTGAATCAGTGATAGAGAGTCAAGTAGTTGAATGTGTCGATTGTTTCGATTATCTTGGGAGTCTCATCAGTCCCAATGTGGCGGTATCTGACAAAATTTAGGCGCGGATTCGGAAGGTTCGATTGGCTTTTGCGGAAATGCGTGACTTCTGGAGTAGGTGGCATATCCGTCCGACAACCAAACGATGAGTTTACTGCGCAGTAGTCCCGTTTAACTTTATGGATGTCAAACATTGTGTTTAAAAGTAGAGGATATCCATCGGTTACGAGTATTTGATCATGTATATTAAATAAAGCCTTTAATAATGATATGTATCATCGAATCGTCGGTCGTTTATTTTGGGACCGTCTAAGTACAAATTCTGAAGTGAGACGTAGAATATTCTGTAAAGAAAGCTGATAAATTGATGAGCCGGTTGAAGTGGTTGGGACATGTATTGCGTGCTCTCAACGGTGGTTGGGGATCTTGGGTGACATGGCTCCAATTCATTCGAAGTGGCGCAAATGCAATCACTGTCTTTTTTCATAACCTAGGTTTCCTGATTCCTCATAGAATTTTCTAGGTTGTTCCTTCTCTAATCTATAACTCCGATCACATTTTCGATGCTCAAGGTGTTCTGTTAATATTAATTCTATTAATACCTTTAGTAATCTGGGATTTGCCCTGATAATCTCATTTCATTATGGTAATACAGTATGAAAATTTGAATAGATATACACACGTGCAAGATTCTGGATTACGTTTAACTAACTTAAAAAATTCCATTCACCTATTAAATACTACAAAATAGTTTCTTCCACTTCCGTAATTAAGTTAACAGGTTTTCATCATCAGAGTATGTTAATGACTTCTGCTCCTCATAGATGGTATGAAAGTGTTATCATATAAACTCTCAGAGCGACAGTTTCACTTTTGAATAGGTAATGTATTTTCAGGACTATTCTGCTATAGCATTCATTTTAACCATCAAAATTGATGCATTAGTGCATTTTGGCTATTTTATCTTGGAAATGTCGTCATATGTGATGAACCAGTAACTGACGATGTCTTAATACGAGTACTAAAGCTTCATTGACCTCTGTCTATGTACACTGCCTGTTAGCTAATCAAGGAGCAAATATATTCCCCAACAGTTTGCTCTCGTTATGTAACCGTAAAGAATGAATTTTAAAGGTTGTTTGTATTTTACTTATCGCGTGTGATGGAAATAAAACGTCGGACAAAAGTCTTTAAAAAAAGTTTAAAGCAATCAAATCAAAGTTGAGTATCAATCTATAGAGTCATTGATTGCTTGATCGAGCTCTATTGGCATTTAGATGCTTTCTGATCAAGTTTTAGAAGAATAGGTTAACCTGAAGACCAAATAACCTAATGCTATTGGTTCTGTTACTTTCAGTCACAATTTAACAACTTTTAAGTGGACGAATTTCATCGGTTTCATACTGTAAATATATGTTAACGTGTCACAAAATATCACTCACTCAATAGGTTTAAGTATTCTAGTGCTAATTAATAATTGCTTATTCTGTTATCTATAAATAGCGTAGTAATAAGCTATTATAGTTTGTGGCCGAGTGAACCCTGTTAATGTATACGTAAACGATACTGCCAATTAGACAACAGTGACTTATCGATCGGACTAGTGACGCGTAAAACCCATACGAGCAGTTCAAAGTCTTTATCGGTCCTGCTTCACACCTAGCCCTACCTGTTAAGTTCAGAACACCAATCGCAGCCTCTGTAATATAAATCATATATTTCAAACATACTAGGTTTATATACCGACCAGACAGACCACATCGTACCATAAAATAGGAAACAACATTTGTACAAAATTCAGCCAAATGTAGCTATGAATAAGGGAGTTAGTAATGGATAGATAGGGCATAACTCAAGAATGGTAAATCGTATAATAACAGTTCATAGGTTAAAATAAAGCATATGATAAGAGAGACATAACTATGAATAATTTAGTTATTTAACAATTATACAATATGAGTATATATATATATATATATATATATATATATATATATATATATATATATATATATATATGGTAGTGGTCCATAAATAATTCCCAACAGGACTGGTCTGCGTCAACACCTGAACTAAGGATAGGGGATGAAGTAGTCGAACGCGTTGACAACTTCACTTATCTTGGAAGTCTGATCAGCTCTAATGGGTTGGTGTCTGACGAAATCTCAGCACGGATTCGAAAAGCTCGTTTGGCCTTTGCCAACTTACGCCATCTATAGCGAAGGCGAGATATCCGTCTATCAATTAAGGGACGAGTATACTGCGCGGCAGTTCGTTCCGTTCTACTATACGATTGCAAAACATGGCCTTTAAGAGTAGAAGATATTCGCAAGTTACTTGTACTTGACCACAGGTGCATTAGAAATATTGCGAGTATGTGCTGGGATCACCGGGTAAGTAATAGTGAGGTTAGATGCAGGGTATTAGTGAATGATGGTAAATCAGTTGATGAAGTTGTGAAGTTACATCGGCTGCGATGGTTGGGCCACGTGCTGCGTATGCCTGAACACCGATTACCAGGACGCGCAATGCTAACCGGTGTTAGGGATGATTGGAAGAAAGTCAGAGGCGGCCAAACCAAAACGTGGCATCAGTGCTTGAAGTCACTAACTTCTGGTCTGAGCCATGTTGGTAAATGCAGACTGCCTGGTTGGGGTCCGCGTGACTATCGTAACCAATGGTTGGAGACTCTTGATGACATGGCTCAGAATCGATCACAATGGCGTCGTTGTATACACTCTCTGTCTTCCTTTAAACTAAGAGATTAAAATCACTTCAAATCTTTCTGTCTAGGAACTAATTCTATCTTCCTGTACTATCCCCTTATACACAATCTTTCTTCTATATATTACCACCACTGAATTAACTACTTCTATGAATCCGGTGTTCATCTTGTTGTGCTAATGCGATATGGCAACTTGGACCGATGCATATACGTGCCTGGTCCTACGTTGCAGCTGACTGACTGACTGACCCAACAGTTACCACTCATTATTCTCATCGGGATATAACATAAACTCAACAAAAAAACGAATTCTAGTCGAATACATATAAGTTTTAAATGGTTTTAATGATTTTAAAAATAGTTAACTAGATTTATATTTAATTTTTCTTTTTAATGTTAAAGTCATTCAATAACCACTGCTTTGGATAATTTAAATCTAACAAAAGCATTAGTTGATTTTCCTGTTAATGTTACTGTGGTTCCAGTATATCATTTGCGTTTAACTCCATGGACATTATGGTGAAGAATAAACTAAATATTCAAACTTTATTTTCTCCTACAAACCAATGATTATATGTTTGTATTTTCTGCACTATGAGTACATTTGTAAAATATTACTTCTTGTATATGACTATATGTTTTCATATGACTTACAACTCTTTCATTTAAAAAATGAGATTTCCTTTAGTCATATAATTCACTTACATTATATTTTACGTTTGTTCTTTATTCAACATTGTATTTTCTATTTTCTCATGTAAATACTGGTTTGCTTTGTTAAACCTGCCTGTTATCTTCTCCCAACTGAGTAATTATAGTTTTATTAACACGTAAATGGTTTTTAATATAGAGTTGGATTGTGTTTAGTAATGAAATCTAGGTCATGTGTCTCATCTTACGTAGGACTAATCCCATCTCAGTAATAATGTTCACATTGTAATTACTAGGTTATGTTGATATAAACCGCTCACGATTCACGTATTTCAATAACTACTCAATTTTAGTTTTGAATATCAACAACGGGGAAGTACAAACCCTTAATAATATAGCATTCATGTAACAATCCATATTAACTTATGTTAAGTTCGGCAACGTGTGATCGTGTAGTGACGACAGTCTTGTTGATGTCACCATCTTGAAACAATGGGTTCGGTGACGTGGATAAATGCTTTGAGTGTCATTCCAGTGACTTTTAAATTATGCATTGTTTCCCGAAGCTGAAACTGGTTGAAAAAAGAAAAGTGGTAAATTTAAGACCTTGTCCCGGAGTGTGACATCTATCTGTTCATCATAATTCCCTGGTTATAGTCCAAGAGATAGTGCAGCTTGGTGAATTGAGACATAATCCATCGTGGTTCTGAGTCGAAGTCAATTGTGGTCCTGTTACAGTTTTCGCGTACTTTCTATAAAAAAGTGAAAAGTTGTTTTACTGAAGAGGGCTCTTTCTGTCTATATTTTTCTTAAGCTTTGAATTAACTGATTAACAATTTACTTTTATTTAATCTATTTAGACAGTGCCATTTTTCTTAGTGAAGGTTAATTATTACTATCCATTTAGTTTTCTTGCAAAAATTTGAAACGCGTTATAATTGTAACATATGATGAATACAAAATTGGTTGCAGTGGTGTGGATAATATTATTCTTGAATTTTATCCACTGCCTTCTCGCGGCATTACTATTGTTTACGAAATTGAGAGGGTGAAAAGCAAATATCCGGCACTGTAACCCGATTAGGGGATGTAGAGGATGTAACAGTCATGTAGCACTAATGACAACAGATACGAGCCAATTTAACTTGGTAACATGGTGACAATTTATGGAACAAACTATATTTGATCTCATGTATGCTGTCTAATTGCCTAAATAGTGAATAAATATAAGACTAGACTTGAATACATGGCATTAAGGTAGAACGACGATCCACCTAGGGGAGTTGGAATATCCTGACTCCAAACCAGTGGTGTTCATAGGCTCCAGCATCCTGAGGCAACAAATAGTGTATGAACCAATTATTAACCACCGGCTACCATGGGACTGCATCTTCTAACGTTTTTGCACTGCCTTATGGATCAGACCTTTAGGTCAAAGGCTCTCTAAGAAAACCGCCTGCATTGGTTTGGGAACTCGGGCAGTATCAGAGTTCACACACGAACCAAGTGACTTTTGTGGCTCATGTGTATTCTGTGCCTCTTTGTACCAATATTTAAGTGTTCAAATAAATAAGTATTCGTCTTATTCATTTACCCCTCTGCGGATACGATAGTAATATGATATAAATCGACTTTATATGATCAATCTCTTTACAGTTGTGACAAATGACATTAAGAAATGGATATTGTATGCGTAGACAGACATACCTCACCATATTAACTCCAGGTAGTCAGTTATAGTAACTGAACTATTTCCAAATCGTTGCTGTCTAATTACCACTGGTTACTTAGTTTTCCTAGTTACTTTTTATATAATATATTACCACGTTAGACGCAGGGTATTAGGGAATAATGGTAAATCAGTTGATGAGGTTGTGAATCTTCATCGACTGAGATGGTTGGGCTATGTGTTACGTATGCCTGAACACCGATTGCCACGACGCACAAGGCTGACTAATGTTGATGGTTGGAAGAAAGTTAGGAGCGGCCAAACCAGTGTAGCATTAGTCCATGAAGTCACTAACATCTAGTCTGAGACATGTTGATAGAAGCAGACTACTTGGTTAGGGTCTGTGCATATATCATAACCAATGGTTGGAGATTTTGAGTGACATGGCTCAAAATCGATCTTAATGACGTAGGTGTATACACTCTCTGCCTTCCCTTCAACTATGAGAGTAAAATCACTTCATATCTTTCTTTCTGTACTATATCATTACATAAAATCTTTCTTTTATATATTACACTATTGAGTTAACTGATTCTATGAATCAAGTGTTCGTCTTGCTGTGCTAATGAGGTATAGCAACTTGAATCGTTGCACGTATGTGCCTGATCGGTCCTACGTTGTAACTGACTGACTTTTCTGACTATGGCTAAAATAAGGCTATCAAACTATCTGCAAGTATATCTGGTGCTTAAAATTTAATTCTAGTTTTAATATCAATTTGATTTGAAGTTGTTGATTAATAACTCATGTAACTGAATTTGTGATTTACTACCATAGTCTTATTTAATGACTCAATAATCTTCTATTATAGACTACTATATGTAGGAAATAACCATAAATACAATTGTACAGTTGTAGTGAAATATATCGTAGGAAAAGGTAATTTTCTTCACTGAAACCTTTTTAAATTATCAAAGAACCAATTCAATCAACTTTCTTGTATCCTTTCTGTTTTTACGATTCCAAGTAACACGATGTGATTTCTCCTAGTTATTTGTAAGTATAACAACAATCTGTTATAACATGTCTATGTTTTCTGAAATCCCCGTCGCTAATTGTTATAACTTGTCGTTCGAATGTTACATGTTATATCTGGTCGTCGCTGATTACTGTGTCGGAAAAACGCTGATCACTTATACTCGGAACAAAGGGACCTCTACAATTCCCACGATGCGAAAGTAAGAACACAAAGACTGGTATAAGTGGAATGTCTATTAACCCCAAAACACGACGATGACCCTAGTCGGAAACACACTCATTTATATATTGATTAATAATTAGGATGAATCCACATATAGAGCATAGTTCATGTCAATTGAATACAAGAATATCGTATACTATACAGAATAGAATATCATACTTGGAAAGCAAAACCGAATACTACCCTGAATGATCATTACGTAGACTCAGAACGGAAGTGATGTTCAACCAAAACTCATAATGAGTAAATCAATCGAATTTTGACTTTTCTTTCCATCTTATCACATTCCATACTAATAACAACTTACTTGATGACCATCAATTATCTAACATAGGACTAAACAATATAATAACACCGTTGGATGCCAACTTAGTAGTCTGAAGGTTAAGTGTTCTCGCAAGACCGGATTTACTGGGCATGAGTTTTGCGTATGGGTTCGTGTATGTTCATTGCCGAAGAGTTCGATGATGGGACAAATTGGCCATCCAGTGCTTACAGCTTTTTAATAGTGGTCCAATATTGATTGAGTCATGATCTCAATGAAACTTAACATATTTCTTAACCCTACATTTATAAATATCATAAAACTTGAACTATTTGATAGGTTGACGTGGATAGTAGAAACTGATATAGACTGGGATATAATGTTCAAGTAGTCTAAACCAGTTTTTCACACTATACTAAACACTTATCTTAATGATAAGAAATGATTGCGAACTACAAATCAGCCCTTCTCTTACGCTCCTTGGCTCAAATGAGATAAAGAAAATGTTCTATGGGGTGGAGAGCAACATGCATATTCGTTGTCGACTCATCAAATTACTTCTGTTTTCCAATTGTTATACGATATGTGCTAAGTATTCATAAACAATTGTCTACGCAAAATACTCAATGTCCGTTGAACAGATACCATCAGCAACAGTCTACTATGAGAAAGGATAAACCAGCTTCCAACTGAAGAGGAAATTAGGGAAAAACCGTTGTAAGTATATAGGATATACATTATGAAAATTACCAAACTGCATCAGGAAGCAAACTCTAACTTGGAATTTTAAAGGGAAACAGAAAAAGATAAAAACCAAAGAATAAACTACGTAGAGAATTGGAAGAAGATATGGGAAAGATGAATATTAACTGGAAAGGATTACCCTGGACAGGGTTAGATCGAGAATGCCGGTAGGCGACCTATGCTCCTCAACACAAGGAGTAACAGACTTAAATAATATGCTAAGTAACATTTACTAATTCACTAATCTAAAAGAATAAAAGCTTAATAAAATGTATGTCAAATTACAAGTCTTATTATAAACTAGTCATCTATTTTCTCCTGACTAAACTCAGTCTTATTATCTATATAATCTATCATATAAACGTATATACACGTGATTTTATATTCATTTTTAAAGAGGTGAATTTTACACGTATATACAAATGATCAATCAATTTACTAAAATAAAAGCTGTTAAATTCACTTGGTATTGTGGTTTACTTGAATGTTTCTATTAATGTTTAGGACTGCAGTTGATCAGTCTCTTATTGACATATATCTATACTGTGTGTATTGCTTCGATATTATCATGTCATAAGTGTTAAAGTGGAAATCAGGATGCAAGTTTCGTCCTATTCGAGACTCGTCAGATGAATGAATCTGCATTCTAGAGTTGATGTTCATTCTGGGACTCGAAACCTATACCGTTCGCTCCAAACACTATCGCGTTATCCACTTAGCTACTGACTCGTGATAGCCACCTGCTTGTGCAACAGGATGAAGCTTAAATTCACATAGTATTGTTTTATTAAATGTTTCTATTGATGTTTAGGACTGAAATTGATCAGTCTCTTATTGACATATATACATACTGTGCTTATTGCTTCGATATTGCCTTAAGTGCCCCCAAATGCCCTGGTATAGCTGAGAGTGGGGTGTGTTCGCCCTCCCTCTCGAAATGCTCTCACACGGCCACGCGTATAAAGCTTCTGCTAGGGAAGTCCTACTCACTGCATTCTCGTGGCGAGTGTGTTGTTTACGAAAATGAGAGGACGAAAAGCGAATGTCCGGCGCTATAACTGGACCCCAAATCAATGGTGCACATGGGCTCCAGTATCTTAAAGGAACAAATGGCGTATGAACCAATTTCTTGGTCACCGGCTACCATGGGACTGCATCTCTTCACGATGCTCCACTGCCTTGTGGGTTAGACATTTAGGTCAAAGACTCGGAGTGTGGCCCCTTAAGAAAACCATCTGCTTCGGTCTGGGCACCCGGGCA